GTGTGTGTGTGTGTGTGTGTGTGTGTGTGTGTGCGCGCGCGCGTGTGTGTGCGTGTGTGTGCGCGTGTTTGTGTGCGTGTTTGTGTGCATGTTTGCGTGTGAGTGTGTGTGTGTGTGTGTGTGTGTGTGTGTTCATGCGCGTGCCGGCAAAAGCGTGTGCTCGCACCCGTGTCACAGTGCGTTTGAAGCCTGGGACTCCTCACAACTGCTGCCGAGCTGACCTGGAAACGCCTGGCCCCTTAACATGAGCCTTCAGACGTCCCCAGCAGGCGCACAGCTACACCAGCCGCAACAGCTGCATGGCTGCAGCAGCCGCCACAGCAGCAGCAGCAGCAGCAGCAGCAGCAGCAGCAGCAGCAGCAGCAGCAGCAGCAGCAGCAGCAGCAGGACTGGAAACAGCATAGGAGCTGCAGCAGCGCCAGGAGCAAAGCAGCAGTCCCGTTGCAGCGATGTTGCTGTGCCTGAGAAAATAGGTGCTGGCCAGTACTGTAAACAGCATAATGACGTGCCTCGTTCCTGGTAGCAGCAAGCAATCAAGCTGAGGTATGCAAATGGCAGTTATGGTACCTGCACTGTTGTAGCCCCCAAGTCGTGGCTCCAAACACGCCCAAGCTGCAAAGGCCAATGTCTGCCATTGCATCTTGTCCGTTGCTCAATTGGAATTGAATCAGTGTCTTATTTTCTATGGGACTGCCCCAAGTACAAATCAGTGCGTGGACAGCTGTGGCGGCGACTGGAGGACGAGATGGCGCCTGAATGTTGGCATATGTTGCAGCAAATGCAGAATGAAGAGAAAGCTTACAAGTTGATTGAAATTGATTTTCTTGGTGGCTCTGTGCTTGCTGATATTGTTGCCCCGTATGTGTATGCTTGCTGGCAGATCAGTTGGAAGGTTAGGAATGAGGAGGTCCGCTCTAATGAGCGCGGGGCCGATGGCAGTGATGCTATGGCATGAGTAACTTATCTATCTGTCTAGCATTGCGATCCGTCCGTCTCGAGCTGCAAGCAACGGGCACCACCGATGGCGTACGGCTGCTCACCTTGAGCAACCGCTGATGATGACCAGCAGGACCAGGGCAAGGCCCCCCACACGTTGCAGGCAGTGTGATTCCCGCGTCTGCCAGCTGCGCGCTCCAAAGGTACCACTATGTGCTATGCAGAGAGAACATCTTGCATTGTCACCTCTGGAATCTAGGCTCCCGGCTGCGCGTGCGGCCCCTGGCTCGGTGGTTGCAGATCAAGGGCACCGCCCACATTCTCCACGCCATGCTACCAGTACTCAATCTGCACGCCTGCATGCATAGACATATGTGGGTTGGTGGGTGCACCCACAGCCCTTGCTGCTGCCGCTGCTGCTGCTGCTGTCGCTGCTGCTGTTGCTGACCCGCATGGGCTGACATGAGCGGTTGTGCAGATGCTGTGGGCATAGTGTCACACTGATTTGACTGAGGCGCAAGGCTCCAGTCATCACAGCATGAGGTCAGCACCTGGCAGACAGGTACGTGTCCTGGCTGATAATTTATTGGACGTCCTGCTAGCTTTTTCTGTAGAGGCCTGTGTAGGCTTGCTGATGGACCGGTGTTGACATGCTTCTACCAGGCCATGGGACTTGCGCTGGGGGTCAGCCCACACAAGGTTGAGCGCCTGTCCGGACCTTGGCCGGCGGGCCGCTTGGTAATTGTGCAGGTGGGGCGCAGCCCCAGGGGCCAAGAGGCTGATTTAGCACAAATGACAGCCACAATGGCTGCTGAATCCCATGCTTGTACTGTGCTGCTGCACTGGCTCCAGCAAGAGCGCCCCAAAGTCGTAGAGCTCTTACGTAATCACAGTCTGCAGCACGTGACGCAAGCGTCGGCCTGGCTCCCAGCTCGCTGTGCTTGATGCCCACCTTGCCAAACTTGTGTGGATCTGTGATATCAATGGCTATTGAGGATTTTTGTCACACTCTTGCATCCCACAGCCGCCTGTATCTCCGGCGGGCTCAAAATGGGGGTCATCGCTCTCGGGACTTTTATCATGACTGATGGCCTGGGGCTTGTCAAGGCCTTGGCAGCTACATGTTGCTCCTGGCCACGCAGTAAACCTCCGAACAGAATCTGAAAGGCAAAGTCTTACGTTGCATGCCACACAAGGCGGTGCTGGCCGGGCACACCCCGTGACAAAGCGGGCCACCGGTCGGTATGTCATGCAGATTTGGCCAGAATCTGATGTGCGAGAAGTTCAATGAGCATCTACCACAAGTATAAATTGCGCGTTTCACTGCTACACAATTATTCCGCCCACTCCGCCCACATCTTCAAATTTCACGTCGCCAGCTCTCACCAAGTAGGTGCATCCCTTCTGAGGAGATTGAGCAGCAATTCAAGTCAATGAAACGCTGCATCTCAAAGCTATGAATCAGGGCAGGCGGCAGGGTTGCTTGC